AATCATTAGATATTAAAATATTATAATTTTTCTATAATATTTTATAGCCAATTTATACCTACGCTTTAAGGGATAATCAAAATAAATATATAATAGTATTTATTTTTTAACAAGATATTAATATTAACAGCTTAAAATTATTATACTTTATTAATATATTAAGCAATAGAAGAATAAAATAGATTTTTTCAGATAAAGGTTAATCAACATTAGCAATCTGAAATTTTTTATCTTTACTAATTTCAGGTGATATTAATTCTCATAAAAATAATATTTTAACTTTCTTAATTGGATGACTAAAAATTTCTGAATTGAAAATATTAATAGCATTTCTTTGAATATTAAATTTCTATAAAAAATATAAAAACAAATAAAAATCATTAATAACTTATTTCGCTAAAACTTAAAAATTGAATTATAATTTTAATACAAACTTTTAATATTCTATTTCTATGACGATTATTAATTTTTATAGATTCTAATTTTTTTAATGAAACTTTATAAGTATTACGTCTTCTACTAAAATAAGTATAGCATATTTGTTAAATCAAGTTTTTTATTCAAATTTCATTATTTTTATAAAAAAGAAATTTAGTAAATTAAAATTAAAATTAAAATATTAATATGAACTTTATTTAAATTATTTCCTTATGATTTATAATCTTTTATATAAAATGATAGATATGATTAAGAATCTTTTAGTTAATCTTATGATTAAAAGATTTAAAATAATCAAAAGAAAATTTCTTTTTAATTGTTTTATCAGAATCTTTATTATTTAATTTATTCATTTTCATCTTATTTTAAATTAAAGCAACTAAAGTAGAAGTTAAATTGATTTATTTGCAGTTTCTGATTCTGAACTTATACTAGATATATTATTAGCAGATTTAAAATTTTTTTGTTTATAAGCTTTAGTAGCAGTTTGTAAACTATTTTGTATATTTGTATTAATTTCTAACTTAGATAAGAACTTTGTTCATCTTATTTAACATAATTTCTTGATATTTTTAAACTGTTCAACAACTTTTTAATAAAATCTATATGTTGATTATTAGATTTATATTATTGCTATATTAAAATTGTTAATTAACAATACATTTACGAATTTCTTTTAATTTAAGTTTATTTTTATCAGTTGTCTCATTAATAGTGATAATTGTTGTACTTATTATTAATAATGATTTAGATATATTTTGTGAGAAAATTTTTTGCATTCATGTTTTTAGGTTTTTTAAAAAAAATTTTTTTTAAAAAAAAAAAAAATAAAAAAAAAAAGATCATTAAATACTTTATTTAAATATAGTGAATATTCTCATTTTTATAATATATTAAATCAAATAATTAGTAAGTATTTAATTTTTATGAATAACAATTTTTATAATATAAGAATTTATTATTTATTTCAAAAGTTTTATATATACATATGATTTAAATGGTCAACTAAATTATTTTATTTTATAAAAAGATAAGTATTATCTTTACTTGAATAATATTATAATAAGATATTATCAAAGAATTTATTTATAGAGATTTATATTTGCCAAATATCTTTCATAAAACAAATGAAGAATTGATTAATAATTTGATTTAGAATATGAAGAAAAGATTAATACAAATACCAAATTTTGAACAATTGATAAATAGTTTTCAAAAGCAATAGCAAATAATGTATATCAAATAGGAAGTTTGATAGCAAGCAAATTATTTTTCAAAAAAGATTGTGTATATCTATAAGAAAAGCTTTTTGCAATCTCGGGTCAAAATTTTGTAATCAAAGATGCTCTTAAACATAAATGGTTCAATCACTAAAATGAAATTCTCTTTTATATTTATAACAAAATTATAATTATCTGCATTGAATAAGCGAATATAATATTATTTAAAATAATATATTCCTTTTAAATTTGCTGATCGAATAATAACAATTTTTTAATTCTTTAGTTTGATAAGAGTAGAGTTAACGTTAATTTTTCTTTTATGATTCATAAAGTATTATCATTGCATAAAAAAATAAACAAAAATATATATATGCATTATATTTTTTCACGTTTGCAAATTTTCTTTTTAGAATATAGTGTATTTTTTTTTTTAACAAAATGTGTTTTTATAAAATTAAGATATATAAATGCCCACAAAATAACTAAATAAATAAAGATATAATCAACTTTTTTTTAAAGGAAAAAAAATTTAAAAAAATAAGATCAAATATTATGAACCCCACCCAGATTATCTTCCCCAAATACCAACACCACTTCCAACACAGAATACAAGGAATAAGCACAACATTAAAAGGAAAGCCATTAAATAAGCATAGGTTTCATTAACAACAAATCTAATTAATAAAAATCCAAATACCATGTACATCAGTACCAACCATTTTAACCCTTTATTCATTCTCAAATTATGTATCGTTCTCCACCATCTTGAGTGAACATTTATAGATTGTGAATTTCTGCGAGATTGTGATGGAGTAGATGTAGTTTCAGAGAAATTTGCTCCATTATTTGTTACCATCCTTTCCAATCGCGAACTTGGTGGAGTTGTATTTATTGTCGTCGAGACATTATGTGGAGATGAATTTATTGTGAATAATTGTGCATCTACAGGATCCAATGCATTTGATTTGAAAAATTGTCGTACCGTTGAACGCATCAAAAAATCATCATCAGTTGCATAAAAAATTGCCTTGTAATGAATTGAATTGTCTCCCATATCTATTTCATTTAAAGGTATTGAAGGGGATTCGACATTGATTGGTGATTGTGTGACTGTAGGTGTTGGAGATAAGATGGGTTGATCTTCCAAGGAAGAAGAAGGATTGATGTTGTCATCATTTTTTGGAATTGAAATGGAAAATTCTTTACTTGATTGACTTTTATTATTATTATTATTGTTGTTGTTGTTGTTGTAATTATTAAGTTTAATAGAGGATAATAATTTTTCAAAATTTCCAGAAGCTGACGAACTATGATTGTCGGATGTAATGGCTTTTGGAGGGGATTTTATAGAATCGTCAGCTGACCATCTTTTATTATTAGCATTCTTGGATGAATGTGAGTTCATCTCAATAGCAACCAATACTTCTTCCTCGTTTTTGAAATTCCATATTGATGGTGGAGCGGAATGTAATCTATCAGCCATCGATATTACATCATCAAAATTAATCGTAAAGTCACCCTCTTCAGTTTTATTAAGTGAAGAAGTTGCTACTATCGTTTCACATTTTTCCTTAACAGTTAATGTTTTTCTTGATGTCGCAGACATCGAAGAAGATTTTGCAAATGTTTGTGATTTTTTTACACTCGCTGCTTTAACGACATAATAATGTACATCACCGATTATATTCATATTATTTAATGGCTAAATTGTTTTCAGGGAAAAAGAATTAATTAATTTTTTTTTTTTAAAAAAAAAAAAAAAAAAAGATTTGAAGGAAATCAACTTACATTTTTAGCTTTCATACGATGTAATAAACCTTGATCGGGTTGAGTTCTGAATAATATTTTATTTATCTGATGACCAGAATAAAATGAATGATAATATTTTAATTCATCTAATGGGTCAACGGTCGATACTTTTGCTATGATAAAATCTTTATTCTTTTCCGCATGTTGTTGTATAAGTGTATCAAAAGATTCGAGAGTGAATGGATCTTCGGTTGTTGCATCCAATGAATGAAGTATTGATTTATCATTTTCATTTTCTGTTGAAATTTCCGTACTATTTTCATTAAGTTTAGGTCGTTTATTAGAATGTCCTCCTCCAATAAATTGAATAACCCTTTCCGACGTTGATAATCTCTTTTCATTATCTATTGACACACTATGTAAAATATTGTCAGTTGTATGCTGCCCATTATCTTCCTTATTTGTAGATTCCTCCTTCGTTAAACCTACTTGACACTCTTCTGTTGTCATTGTTTCTGTTGAATTAACACTGATTTCGTTTACCATTACCATAATTATATCATTAAATTAAACTATCAAATATATATTTTATATATTTTTAATTTAATTATATAATTATATATATAAATATAATTATATTTTTATATATATATATTTTTTTTTTGGTTTTTTTTTTTTGTTGTTAAATTGCTTTCTTTAAATTCTGGTCACAAAGAATACAATTATTGTCGTAAATTGATTGTCATACATTAGGCAAGTTATTTTATTTTTTCTTTTTTTTTAAAAAAAAAAAAATTTCTCTTTAGAAGGTAATCTTTTGCGGTAAAAAAGAAAATTATATTTTTAGTAGAATATAATTATAGAGGCTTGCGTCGTTACCTTAGTGGTGTTGTCATGATAATAGTAAAAGAATTAGTAAAAAAAAAATAAAATATGCAGGTAATACTAACTTAACTATATGAGGATTCCACAAAGCAATCTTATAATGCCTTTTTTCATTTTTTTTTTTTTTTTTTTTTTTAATATTGTTAATTGGGGTGGGGCCAAATATTTTCATATAAAATTTCAAACATACCATCTAAGGTATCATAAAGGTCACGGCTAATTTTGCGTAGCCAATACAAATAAGTTAAAATGAGTTGACTTTTTTATTACCAAATGGGAAAAAAGCGAAAACGATTTTTTTTGTCAAAATTCCTTGAGGACTTTTCGAAGTAAGAAAATTTTCAAAGGCGTCGTTGGAGTCATCAACGTTCATAATAAAAATGATAGAAGGTAATTTAACATAAATCTATGCGAATTCCCTTTTTTGGTTCATTAGTCCGGAACGAACTATATAAAACTATGCAAGGTGATACAAGATGTCCCGCCCGCTCAATAATTGAGTCGATGATGATTGGCTTTGTAATTTACACATAAAGCAAATACCAGACTTAACAACAGTTTCCCGTTTCCTAGTATGAATCTATTGACTAGTTTCAGAAATCCAATTGTCATATGGCGTATGAAAATGGTGTGGATTTCATTATACATAAATAATTAATTAGGTTTTCTCTTATAATAATAATAAAGAGATAATGCTGAGAACTGTTTCACAACATTAAAAAACTACCTAATCGGATTTCCCTCGCAGGATAATCCACATACAGAACAAGTTTCTAAAATAACAAACAAACAAAAAAAAAAAAAAAACGAAAGACTTGTTTTCTTTTTTCGTTTTGTTTAATAAATAGTCTCGGACGAAATTTCATCTCACTAACCATTTCAGAAAAGTTAATTCTTCCCCTTCTCGAAAACCAAAAAAAAATTTATCCAATTTTGGAAATGATTATTTTTTTTTTTTTGATTTTTTAGATAATCTTTTGATAATTATCACTTTTTAAGATTTTCCCGACCCTACATCTTTTTTGTGATGATTACCGAAATTACTAAGAAAATTATCGAGCAGTTATATCCGACACGTTTTTATATATTATTTTAAACCCATTGAAACAATCAATAAAAAATTTTTGAACAATAATTCATTATTTTCCAAATCAATGATGCAATTTTTATCCAATAATTTTTGTCATGGTAATGTTACATTCATCCATAATGGTTCAATTGGTATTATTAATCAAGTTAAATTAAAAATTTATCTTCAAAAAATGAGATTCAGATTTCGTATAAAAAACCAACAAAAAAAAAAAAAAAATATTCTTTCCTACATCAACCTTTTTTTTTTATTTATTATAAAAAGGAAATTTTACGAAATGTCTCTACGTTTAGGAAGTATTGCACCAGATTTTACGGCTCAATCTACCAAGGGTGTGATTGAATTTCATAAACAAATTGAAGGTTCTTGGGCGATTTTATTTTCCCACCCTGCTGACTTCAGTAAGTATCATCTTTAATTTTTTTTATCTTTTTCTAGAACAAATCCCATTATAAAGAGGAACCTAAACATGACCTTCTTTTTTTCTCTTCTCCTCTCCCCTTATAAAACAGCCCCGGTTTGTACTACAGAACTTGGAGAAGTGGCTCGCCGTTCTTCAGATTTTGCCAAACGTGGTGTAAAAATTTTCGGACTTTCGGCAAATGAATTGAAAGATCACGAAAAATGGGTTGATGATATTAATGAAGTGAATAATGTTAATGTTGACTTCCCAATTATCGCTGATGGTGAACGAAAGGTTGCTACATTATATGATATGTTGGATCACCTTGATGACACCAACGTTGATCAAAAGGGAATTCCATTCACTGTTAGAAGCGTTTTCATTATCGATCCTAAAAAGGTTATTCGTTTGATGATCACCTATCCTGCTTCAACTGGTAAGTTTTAATTGGGGTTTTCTTTTTTTCATTTCCTTTTTTTTTTTTTTACTTCCTTCTAATTTGTTTCTCCCGCTTATTTTTTTTTATGTGCAGGCCGCAACTTTGATGAAATCATTCGTGTTATTGATTCTCTTCAACTTGGTGACAAGCATCGTATCACCACTCCTGCTAACTGGAAGAAGGGTGATGATGTTATTGTTCATCCTGGCGTTTCCAATGAAGAAGCGGAAAAAATTTTCCCTGGTTTCAGAACCGTTAAACCGTACCTTCGATTCACCAATTCACCAAAGTCACCTTTCTAAAAAATTCACCTTTATATATATATAAATTTGCACGTTATTCTTGTATGTATGGAGGAGGCATCCTGATTTTTAAAACATGTTTATTTTAAAAAAAAAAAAAATGATAATAATAAAAGCAACAAAGTACATTTGCATGTATTATGTTATGTATTTATACGAAATTTTTTCGTAAAGGTGCAGAATAAATGTAAACATTTTTATATATATCTAATGAAATAACAACAGCTAAATTATTTAACATTATTTGTTATGATTAAGTAATAATTATTGTAATTATTGTGCAATTATGAAATAAATGAATAATACAACTGAATGTTGACCGTTAATCGCGAAATATGCAATGTTGAGCGTCATATACTCCTTTGCTCCTATACTGTGTCCTCTGAAGGCAATGAATCGACGGATTGCTTCTGAAGGCGTCGTGATGATTGATGTTGAAGATGTAATCTAGCTTCTAATTCCTCCGTCAACATGTGCAACCTGACACCTTCTTGAATGACAAGAGTTTGCTGCTGCAATTTTGTATTCAATTCCGCAAGTTCGCGACAAAGCCTTTCATTTTCTTCCTCAAGTCGTGTTACCTTTGATTCAAGGTTTGCAACATATACTTTCTTTCGCTCACGACATTGTTTTGCCGCGATCCGATTACGTTCCAGTCTACGTTTTTGGCGTTCTTCTTCAGAAATAGATTGTTGTTGTTGTTGTTGTTGTTTTCTTTGATTATATCGTAAAAAAGGGACATGATATGGTGAGAAGGATGTTTGCCTTTGATGTCGCTCCACTTGTCGTTGTGTCACCTGTCCTTCGCCAGGTTGATGATAGTGTTGTTGTTGTTGTTGCTGTCGAACAGCGTAATTTGTCAACACCAAAGGTACCTGAGATTGAAAAAATTGTAATCGGTAATGATTCTCAACCGATGTCTGTTCGGCTGGTTGTTGTTGTGATGGTTGTTGTAAATGTAAATGTAAATGTTGTTGAGGGTGCAAGTGAGGTTTTAAATCTGAACGAGATTGTGACGCGTTTTGTTCAGAAATCGAACGAAGCCTAGGTGATAATTTCTGTGTAGGTGTGGAGGCAGGGGTCGGTCCTTGCGTGGGTTGTATCATTGAAAGAGATGATTGATTATTTAAATGTGTAACAGGTCCATCATCTTGCTGCGTTGAAGAATATGGATAATAAAAGGTTAAGATTCCCTCGTTATTGGTAGGAGATGAATTCGTTCTGACGATCATTCCGGCATCCATGATTCCTTCATTCTTTGTGGTTATCGTTTCAAGAAATGGATCATGGTTAGCGTCGGATTGTTTTTGATCCGGTGACAACCATCCGTTCTCGGTTGTATATATCGACATATTTTCTTGATTGATATATGTATCTTCTTCCCGGATTCTTTGTTCGGATTTTTGTTCTTGATATGGAGAAATCATTATTACTAATCCTGTTGAAAAAAAAAAAAAATTTATTTCTTGGTATGAAAAATGGATCCAACGCGTTTGCACACATCTTTTTATGTTGTTGTTGTTATTGTTGTTGCTATTGTTGTTTTTCCTTTGAATTTACCTTGTTATCAAAAAAGTATGCGGCCTTTGTTCTGGAGACAACGTCAAGGGGACGCGATTTTTAGTATTACTACCTTAAACCTATATCGTTCCTAAATTAACGAACGATTTATCAAGAAAATAAATGTGAGAGGAGTTGATGACGCGCACGTTTACGTTATTATATGATAATTATTAAGGGGTGGGAAGTAAAAAGGAAGTAGTAAGGTTTGGAAAATTGAGAAAGCAGAGAAAAAGAGTATGTAAACCCACTTTTTTTTTTTTAAGCTCATAAGACGTATTTATATACTTTCTCATGACTTTAACCATAATTGGTTATTCATTATGTAATCATATAAATAATGAATTAAAATTTTTTTTTGATTTTTTTTTTTTTAAAAAAAAAAGGAATCCAAAAGTATATTGATGTAATCAATTGATTTTTTAAAAAAAAAGATTATTTGGTCATAAATTGTAATTCTTTTTACTCGCGAAACGTTATTATATATCGTTACAAAGATCATTTTTCATTTAACTGATTATAATAATTAAAAAAAATGGTGCAAAAAAAGAACGGTTCCTTCGAATATTAACGATAAACATCTTTAAATACACACCTTAATCCGCAGATTTGCATTTGTGAAAAAAAAAAATTATAAAAAGAAAAAAAAAGTGAAATATCTTTGAGTAATTCGTTCCTCTTGGAACCTCATAGTGAATCAATTATCTATCTTCATAGAAATCTTTTTCTTTACGGAGCAAGAACGTGAGTTATAATATGATGAATGAGTAAGTGTCAGGTGATCAGCAAAGTTTCGTCAGTGAGTTGATTTATCCTTCGAGAAAAAAAAAAAGTGGATGCTTACGAATCCGGGAGTCTTTTTCAGAGTACACTTCTTATAGACATGGCATCATATACTTACTATCATATCAGAACATTTATTATACTACTCTGAACAACTTTCTACAGAAAATGTATCACGCCTTACATAACGATAATATATAACTATTTATTAACTATGGTATTTTAAAACCAAATTTCCTTCTCTCGTCTCTTTTTTTTATTTTTCTGAAAAAGAAAGTTTTCTTTATCATGCATTTTCTCAAATGATTTAATATGGTAAAAATTCAGGATATGAAAATAATGTAAAAAAAAAAATGGTCCTACTTTTTTATCATTCTATTAGAACACATTGTCTTATTATCATTCATTTATTTAACTAAAACAAATAATTCCATTTATGCATTTATTAGTGTAAATAAATAAATTTTTAGTATTCTATATTAATGTCTACAAACTGCATCGGTTTCATCGATGATCCGGTTTGTCCCATTAATCGATATTCTGGATAGAATTAAATGGTCTTCAGTTATATTTATGTTGAGACATGCATAATTAATAATCAACTTATTAAAGCCCCGTCGAAATTTAGGTTATTTACCTTCCTTGATTGATGCACTATCACAAGCTAACAAAAATTGCCAATGCAAAAAAAAAAATATTCATCTTTACGTGGCGTTCCTATTACATAATTTTTATTTTCTATCATATGAAGCGTCATAATAACAATCGACCGATATATAATACCCAACTGCTCTTCAGGAGAATTTCAAAATTTCCTTTACCGGAGAATCTTTTTACAATATTTTGTAAAATCTAGCAGATTTGTTCTATAGTTGAAGGTTCTGCCTTCTGTAGTGCTATGATTTCATTGCCCAAATTTTCCAATTAGTTAACGAATTCTAGTTAATTCTTGAAAAGGCAAGGGAAATAACGTCAGAAGATGTTCGTGTAACTCTCTCCATCTCCTTAATTCAATTTGCAAATAAATACCCTTTTTAATAAACATGAGCACATTCTTCGTTACATATAGCTGCTTTCGCTATCATAGCTTTGACTTCTTTCTCATGCACTGAAGGTATGTATTTTTTGTTTTAAGCTCAAGTTATAATATTTATGATATTAACTTTTTCCTTTAATGGGTAAACGAGTAGCGCAAACAACAGGAGCAAAGAATCCGGATTTCCAGTACAATCAACCCTAACCAGAGCGAATTTCACTTTGCGACGCAAACAAGGGCTTCTGTCAAATAAATTGTGATGGCCCCGAAAAAGTACGTGTATGAAATGAAATTCACTTCTTTTTTCAATTAATTAATTATCATTCTAACTTTATTCCCCCCCCCCCAACTTCCCTCAACCAATTAAAACATTGTTTTACTCCAAAGAATAATAATCTTTTTCACAAAAACCCATGTAATTTTATTTTTACAATACTTTATTTTAGAAGTATACCATGACCCATATTCTTAAATTTCATAGATTTCATGAAATTTTCGAACATACTGTTCTTATCAAAAAATCTTTCCAAGTCATTGCCAGCACGACGTAATGAAATTCCTCACCTGAACTTTATCACATGACTAAACGAATATTGACATAGTATATCCAATAAGTTTTTCAGTATAAGCAACTTCACGTGTCAGATTCTTAGCGTTGCAAAAACAAAAATCTTACTTATTGGTTCTCAATTTAAAGGCGGAGTGGAAAATCAAAATTATGGTAAGAGCGATTCAGAAGAAATCCTCGTTTTAATTTTTTCCCCATTGCTAATCTCCCGAATTTTATTCTGTAGAGTTGTTTCATCTTAGAAAAGTCCTCTTGCAGGATATAATCATCTGTATTGGTAAAAGTGACGGATATGCAAAATTTTGTAGATGTGGGTCGGATAGATTATTTCAGAAATCTGGTGTTTGTAATAGGGGTGGGTGTAAAAGGATTTAAAAAAAATTATATGTATATACAGTATATTTTACTATGAACAATGCAAAATGATAAAATATTTCACCATGACTCGAATTTTATATGATAATAGTATTGCAAAGTCAAAAAAATAAATGTATCTTATCAACAGATTTATAAATCTTCATACTTCGGAGTTTCGATCACAAAACGCGTTCTCAACTAATAATCATCAGCTTACAACGCGTTCACATAATTAATAATAAAAGTTTATTCCGAATCATATATATAGTCAATAAGTCTAATATAGACCCTCTCCAGAAAATCGTTTTTCATTATTTACTTCTGTCAAGCCAGATCTTTAACAATATGTCTAACATTTACGAAATCATCGATAGCCTTGATCTCAAAGAAGAAGCTAATAAACTACAAATTTATCTAATTAAAAATCCAAAAGAAGAAGAAAAATTGTTATTGGCTCTTAAAAGTACCTATAAAACGAAAGAAGATAAACGGAGTCTTATGAAAGATTTCCTTAATACTATACCTGGTATGTTAAAATATTTGTCGTTATTATTGTTTGTGACGCTACAACTAAATCTTTTTTTTTTTTTGTTCTTTATCACGCGCCTGTGGATTTAGAAGAACATCAAGGTACGTGACGCGCTAACATATTTGATAGCTGTTATTATATTTACACTTTTTGAAATTTGATACTTGTATTTTTTTTTCGTTGTCTTTCTACAGGACAAAAATTTGGTAAGAATTCCCGAAATTGTTTTACATTATAGCCAATGATTTCATATTTCTGACTTGTTTACAGTTGAACCAGAAGTTACTGAATTTTGGAAACAACTTTCCAACGCAAAAATCATCTCTACGTTGCCAAAGAATTGCAAAACTGACGAAATTAATAACCTGAAAAAGTATGTTACAGTTGAGGATGATTATATCTATCTAAAAGTTGGTGTAACCGTTGACTCGAATGGTACGTTATACCATAATGGAGTGACCACCAATTTGGAACTACCATTAAAACTTATGAATACACTTAAGCTGGTCTTGCCCGAAAATGTGTACTTTCTTGGGCAAAAACAAAAGTATGGATCGATGGTCTTTATTCGTAAATGTTATTTGGCATTAATTGAATTAATTGAGGAAAAGCGTCATGGACCAAATGATCCAGCCTATAGTGGTTGTACAATCACGGGCACACCCGGTATTGGAAAAACTTTCTTGGCGTTATTTCTTTTTTATTACATCCGAAATAAATATCCTGATGCCACAATAATTTGGAGGGCAGATAAAGTTATTTGTTATCGATTCTCGCCAGAAGGTAAAGTGGATCTGGGGGATCGACACAAATTCCACAATGCATTACACGATCACAGTAACTTTTACCTTGTTGACGCTCAAGTTCTAGAAGAACAAAAAGCTTATATGCTCCATTTTACATCGCCAAAGAGTGAACGATTTAATGAAGCCGTTAAATCACAAGGGTTCACCACGTACTTTATGCCAATCTGGGATCAAGAAGAAATCTTTACACTTTGGTTTGAAGCATTCAAGGACAAGAAGGATAGTAATGGCCAAGAATTTGTATTTCAAATAGTTAAGAACTTATTAAGTAAATGGGGTCCAATACCTCGGTCGGTACTTGCAAAGTGGAATGATGAAACATACCAGAACCAATACAGTGGCTTGGTTGCCAAGGTTGATTTAGAAAAATGCATAGATTCTATAAACAATGAGGGAATGCCTAAAGGTGATTCTATAAGTGAAAAAATTGTACACCTTGACATGCATTCAGGGTTTACAAGTATGACATATCGCTTTGCTACAAATGAATTAGCTAGCCGTTTAATTGATGAATATGAAAATAAAACCAGGAATAGCATTCGTAATTTCATTGTATGTGGTCGTGATTTTCCAGAGACTGCTTCATTTCGAGGACATCTTTTTGAAGATTATTCACATAGAAAGCTGAGTAAGGGTGGCAGTTTTAAAGTTCGGTGTTTGAAGGAAAATGATGATAGTGATATTATCAAAATTACAGAAAAAATTATCATTGAGCGTAAAAATAACTTCTACACTACATTGGAAGATATTCGTAAAGATTTTTATAACAGGCCCAGGTCAAAGTCAAA